GTCCTTCCCCAAGGACATGTACATAGCCCAGCCATTTGTTAAGGGATGTGGCAGTGGCTTCTGGTCCCACGGACAAAACCTAACATACTATCAATATTTCATTATATTGACGTGATTTTAAGTTCTGAGTCTTCTCCCCACCTACAGAAGGGAGTACAAATGGTGGTAGCACATCTCTAAGAGAGAGAATGGGCTGTCAGTTCCTTCAAATTGCAAAGACTCAAGTTGTCTGCCAAGTCCTTGGGATCGTCTGTTGTTGTAGATGAAGTCCAAGTTTCCCCTACTATCAAACAGTCACAGATTTTCTCGGGAATATTGAGATGCTGGCATTTTACCATTCCAAACTTAGCACAAAGGTTGAAACTATTATAAAAGTTAGTAAAAAGGAAAGCCTAGTGGATCTGGGAACTTGAGCACCTTGGAGCCTTTTCTTGTTAACAAAAATGGTTGTAGAACAATTATAAGTCCTGGGCACATTCGTCCAAGAACAACTATGGACAGGATGTTTTTAGCTCCCCTGATGCATTTGAGTGGATGTTGTGGCAACAGCAGGGCAATAAATGAGTTCCCTTAGGACCTTGGTCATGGCTACAGAAGGGAGTGAAGAAGATGGAAAGACATTTGGAAGTGACTGTCACACTTGACTGTGTATCACGTGGTAGCATACAACCATGCTTCTCCACCAGGCAATCCAGAAGAATGACCTAACTAATATTAGATGGCTGCAAGATGTGGCAGCTGAAAATGTGGCTGGTTTGGCAGGCCCCAGGGAGAGGAAGCTCTTCAGCCCACAGCAAAGCAACAGGGGTTCTCACCAAGATACTCATGTGTATGTGACTTTTTTTGCTCTTTTGCCTGTGCCATGAAGCAGCTATAGCCAATGCCCCAGGTGACAGGGTGGAAAACTCATGCACAACAGTGGCAGGTTGACTTCATTGGGCCCTTGCTCCCATCAGAAGGCTACAGGCACTGCAGGCACATGCACAGAATGACTTTGGGCATACTCTTGCAGAAGGGCCGCACAGAAGGCAACCAGGCATTGTTTTCAAATGCTTGGCACCATGTGTGGCCATGGACCCCTCAGGACATAGACAAGGACAAGGGACCACACTTTGCTGACCACATGGCACAAGAATGGCCTCAGAATTTGAAAGTATATTAGCATTTTCACTTACCTAATAACCCAGCTGCAACAGGATCAATTGCATAAATGAATGGCCTGCTAAAACAGCAACTAAATATGGAGGATGGATCCTTGGCAGTGTGTACCAAGTGACTAAGTAAGGATGGTCATCAGGACCGCCAATGAACGTGACTGCAGCACACACTCCAGTGCCTCCTTGATGTCAATACAAGAATCCGATGACATCATCTGGATCCAAATGATTATGCTTAAGAAGGACACCTGCACTTCACAAATGGAAACACGGGATAAGTTGCTGTTGTCACTGCCACAGGACCTGCCACAGTGAGCCCATATAATCTCTTGGCTATGGGAATAGCAAATGGGGATTTGATGGTGTGGGGAAAGGAACTAGAACAAGACAAAAGCAGAAAAAAATTACCAATCCAAGATCTCTTATCCCTGGAGGAGAATATGTCATTTCATTATGGGCTTCCCCACCAAAGCCACAGGGTTCACTGGAACAAGAAATATGTTTTGTAAATCTGGGATGAGTCACAGGCTGGTTCTATTCTCATTCAGAATTATCAGTTTGCTTATATATTGTTGAATATTCAAGATCTGCCTGTTTTAACACCTGCTAAAAATGTCGTACGTTTCATCCTTAGAGCTAATCTATTTGCATAATGGGCAAGTATCCCCAGATTGCCAGACATATCATAAGCTGCCTCTGTCCTCCTACACTGGTCTTGCAGCTACCTTGGTGAAATGGAAGTGAATGTTAAGCTGAAATAACATGTACCACCAGGCAGCTGGCAAAATGCCCTATAGACTTGAACTTGAATTTACTCTTCTTTGTCTTCTACTTGGTATGGGAACAAATGGACATGGCCAAGCCTTTCTGTGGTATACTCTGATTGACAGGTTGGGGTGGCTAAGTGAATGAATATGAAAGGGAAATTTTCTCTCTGTATAGAAAAAAAATGGCTTCAATACCTCTCTACTCTCTGTAAATATGGGTTGGACCCCTGTCAATCAGCATCATTTAGCCATTATACTCAAAGACACTGACTATTTAGGATGGCAAAGTTGAACAACATGTGAGGAATATATCCTGACCCTTGGGGGCAGTTATGGACATGTGGCATGTACAGGTGGCCATACCTGCCTTATAACTGGATTGTCCAATGCACTTAGAAAAGATTTTATATACTTCCCACTTTATCTACAATCCCTACTAATTAGGACTTCATAAAAACTAAACATAATGTAACTTGAGCTGCCTGGTGGCTTTACCCACTTATTATCCCTTCTCCTGAAGCAATAAGCATTAACATTGAGTTCCAAGTTGAAGCATTAGCTAAGCACGCTGCTGCTGCCTTAAATACTACTCACAGAGCCAAAACCGTGCTTAATAAAGAAACTACCCAAACGTGGAAGGTGGTGATTCGAAGTAAAAGGGCATTGGTTATGTTGGCCAAAGCACAGGGAGGTGCCTGTATCCTTATAAATACTGAATGTTATGCATACACCCCTCATGATGATCATAACATTTCTTTGGCTCTACATAAATTGCAAACCCATATTACTGCTGTAGGTAAACTTAGTCCTAATCCTGTCTCTGCTTGGTTACAGTCTCTTCCCCCCACCTGGAGATATGTTGTACTCAGTCCACTTGCTCTTAGAGCAGAACTGTTCACATTCTGTTGCTCTTTGTATGACTATTGTGGGATTTGGCTACACTGTAACATCCTTTTGTGCCACTCGAGGGATACAGTGGAAGATGGAAGATTTTAAGTACATTTTACATGGGAGATGGAATATACCATCCTTAAAGAAAAGGGGGGCAGTAAAACACCATGACCCTGAATGCATCCCTTTGTTCCAAAAATCTAGCTAAGTCAATGGATCAGTGAGAGTAAGCCAGGGTTGGAAGGTCCAAATATATTATCTTGAAGAACCCTGGCATTCTCTTATGCACACTGTGAACTAGAGCAAGTTAGCGCTGCCTATAGAAAACCACTTTCCCGCATGCACACCATGACAGCCGCTCCTTGGGATGCTGGTCAGACAAGCAAACAAAGGAGGCTAATGCTAGTGACTGCTGCTGCAGCCCAACAGATCAAACCTTCTCTCAAGGATGACTGGCATGAAGTTGAGGGCACTGTGTAAAGGATACATGTCACTTGTCCAGTTGACCACCACTGGACAAAACACTGGAAGGAGTCACTCCTTAGCAAAGCACCCTGAGGAGCAGAGGTGCTGTCYGTCTATCACCATTGAACTCTTCTTAGAGCAGCTGCTGATCTCTGTACACTTCCCCAATAAATCCCATGCCTCACAGGCTGTCTCTGGATACTTCCTCTGGCCTGTCTGCAACCTACCTCACTGTTCTGGCACAATTGGGCTATGGCGATGACAGGAAGAAAGTAAGGACAGAAGGTTGGCTGCATGTAACAGGTCTTATTAGAAAACAATAGTTTAGGTATAACAAGTATGTGGCAAGGTGAATCAGCTTGGCAAAGGTGGACTTTAGTCCAATTACTCACGATGGAATGGMCAGGCACAGCTGTTCTCCCAGAGACTTGGGAGGCTGAGGCAGGAGAGTCATAAGTTCAAGACCAGCCTCAGCAATTTAATAAGACAAAAAGAATATTAAAATTAAAACAAAAACAAAAATAAATGAAAAGGCTGGGGATGTAGCTCTATGGTGGATCACCCTTAGGTTCCATCCCAAAAGCCACAAAGAAGAAAGAAGGAAGGAAGGAAGGAAGGAAGGAAGGAAGGAAGGAAGGAAGGAAGGGAGGGAGGGAGGGAGGGAGGGAAGAAAAAAGATGGAATGGAGCAACTGAAAATCTGGAACCCAAGTTGAGGTGAGAGTAGATTTGGGAACCTTTAGCTTAGAGGTGCTAGTCCTCCAGGGACAAGAATGTAGAAGAAAAACAGTGGCACAAGAATCTCAGGGTTCAAGTGATCCTTCCATCTGGGACAAAAAAGGGGAAATAGAGCCCAGGCAACCAGAGATATAAGGAGAGGACCAAGGATGTGTGAATTTATGGAAATCAAGGAAGATGAATTTCAAGGTATCTGTAACAGAGACATCTGTGTCACAAAGAGGTGAGAGGAGAGGATATTGCTGGGGTTTTTTTTTTGGGGGGGGGTGTTTGTTTGTTTTGTGGTTGGTTTCGTTTGTTTTTTGGACACTTTTTACAGACAATAGTCTTGAAGCAATTTAGGAGAAAGGGAAGAAGAAAATTCCAGTCTGATGAGGATATCTGCAGGGGACAGCGGTGAAGTTTGGTGAGGACTCTCAGGATGGTCAAGGCGAGACAGGCGTGGGTGTTGAAGGGTAGGTTTCCTGCATGGCCTGTCCTGGGTGAGAGTCCCCTAGGAGCACATTCCTCCCTGTCTATCAGTGGACACTGTCGCTCTGGCCAGCCATTTAACCCATTCCTTCCTCCTGATGTCGGATGTTTTTATGAAGCAGTCATGACATGTACTTTACGATGCATAAACATGAATGAGAAACACCTTTACTATGCCGGAGAAATAAAGTTTATTGGGAATTAAATGAAGTAGCCTCCCTGCATTCCAGAGAAGGAAGGAAAGCAGGAAGAGGCAGAACGTACAGGAATCGCCCTAAGTAATACCTGGAGCCCAGATTACAGGGAGCTGAACAAGTCTCAACACCAAGGAGTTTTCCAGACCTTGGGAGCTGATGACGTGAGCGTAAAGCATGGCCCGGTCTAGAAATCACAGATGACATGAAGAGCTTTCTCAACGGCCACTGAGCCCTGGCAAAAGGACCTGGGGATGGTTCCTGTACTCGACTTAAATGGCTCCACTGACGTCTTCAAAGGGGATGCAAGTTGTGCAATTAAGAGCAACACTTCTGAGAGCTGCCACAGGGTCCACAGGAGTTGCCAGTCGCATTGGTGGTAGCACATGGGTTGCAGGGGAGGCTGGGGGGACACAGAGGTTTAGAATGGATGGGGGAGGAGAGAGAACCCTAAGTTGCACATACTGCCTTGGTCGTAATGAGACAACCTATGATTTCTCAGTGGTTGGAATTAGAATGGAATTTTGATTGATACCAAATCCTTCTCCCTTTCCCAAAATACCATATGCAGGGTCAGAAAATTGTTCTTTTGAAAATACTATCTCATGCTCTTGAGCTCTCACGGAATTTAACACAATCTACCTTAGGTGTCAAATATTGTTTTAACAGGCAATCTCCCGGCCACAACCTCTGCATTAGTAGCCCCTAGAGGCAGGGGCCATTCCCTTGGCCTTTGCCTGTGCACATCGGTTGCATAGAAGACGGTGAATGTACATTGTTTAGGCAACCATGTGTGTGCCCCCGGAGTCTGCCACTCCCGCCATACCCGTCATCCCAGAAAACCTTCTCCCATACGCACTTGCAGTCCTGGCTGTCCAGCAGGCTCCGGTACGTGTTGATCTCACACTCCAGCCGGGCCCGGACGTCCAGCAGCACCTGGTACTCCTGGTTCTGACGCTCCAGGTCAGCCCGGATCTCAGCCAGCTGGGACTCCACGTTGGTGATCATGCCCTGCACCTGGGACAGCTGGGAGCTGTAGCGGGCCTCACTCTCTGTCAGCGTGTTTTCCAGAGAGTTCCTCTGTGGTGGGGAAGATAAAGGGGTGTCAGAGAGCTGCCCCCCCTTTAAGGGGTTTCTCCATGGGCTTGCAGAGTCACCAGCTCCAAGGGCTAAGGAGAGTGTGAGGCCCAGAGGTGACTCTGCCTCCCCAGTTTTGCAGTACACACCAGGTTGTGCTGGGCCTGCAGCTCGATCTCCAGGGCGTTGACTGTGCGTCTCAGCTCGATGATCTCCGCCTGGTAGGACTGAAGCTGCTCTGAGCTGGACACCACCTGCTTGTTCAGCTCCTCAGTCTGAAACACCCAAGGGGAGGAGACAGGATCAGACCCTGCCCTAAGGGCCCTGGGGTCTTGAATCCTGAGTGGTCAGGTGCTCGGATGCCCACCTGGGTGGTGAACCACTCCTCCACTTCCCTGCGGTTGGTCTCCACCAGGGCCTCGTACTGACTCCTGGTCTCATTGAGCACTTGGTTCAGGTCCACGGTGGGGGCAGCGTCCACCTCCACGTTGAGGCGGTCTCCAAGCTGGCAGCGCAGGGTGTTGACTTCCTGATGGGAAGAGAGGAAAGATTAAACTCACAGAAATAGAGCTGCTATCTTTCTGCTCTAGGGAAGTGAGTTCAGCCCTGCCAACAAAACACTAACAGAAATATCCCTATCATTCCAAAGATTGGTGTAGACACTGGGTAGCAATAAGGATTTAGGATCACCCTAAAACATTTCCCAACAAACTGAAAGGAATTCACACCTCCTGGGAGACTAATTTCCTGGCATGTGCAAGTCCTCCCTCATTTCTCATCACATCCCTGTAGGCACTGCGTGCCCAGCGTACCCCAACGTACCCTGCTCCACCACTTCTGGGTTTTTGCTCAGCCTCTTCTCTCAGGTCAGAACACCCCTTCGTTGCACTCTTCCTTGCAACTGGGAAGAGTTCTCTGTCTCCTCACTGGCATACTGGCTTGTGCATGCTTGTGTACCTCTCAGAGAACTTGCTTCATTCTGCCTTCACCACTGTGTTAACATGGCTGTCTGTCTGCTCTAGACTGTGAGCTCTTTAAAGAGAGAAGCCATGACTTCTTCTTCTTTTCTTTTTTTTCCCCTATTCTCTCCCCACCACCACACCAAATCCAAGCCCTAACAATGACCAACTTCAATCAATGGATGCCATTCCTCAATATCTCTAACACCTGCCCAACCTGCACCTGGGTGCCTGAGAATTCACAGCTCACTTCATTTCTTGATGTGGATACAGCATCATCCTTTTATGAACCAACTTCAAGTTCTTCAGGAGAGGGTTCCATGCCAGTTACTACCATCTGATTTCCAATATGAAAGGCTCAGCTCTGAAGCTCTGAAGCTGGCTTTTAAAAAAAAAATTTTCATACCTCCTCATGGTTCCTCTTGAGGGACAGCAGCTCCTCCTTCAGGGACTCCACCTGGGCCTCCAGGTCAGACTTGCACAGGGTCAGCTCATCCAGGATCCTGCGCAGGCTATTGATGTCCGACTCCACCAGCTGCCGCAGGGACCGCTCCGTCTCGTACCTGTGCACACAGATCAGAGTGGGAGGAGAAGCCAGCCAAGAAGCCTGCCTTCCTCTCTGGCATCTTTTTTTGGATAGGATTGGCCAAGATCTTCTTGAACCTACACACTTCTCTGCCCCTTTTCTTCCCTGTCTCCTTCATGCTACGTGGATAGACCAGAAAAGGCTCTTGATTCAAACTAACACCAGGAGGTGCCCACAGGGACCACAGGATGGAGTCTCTCCCTCTGTTCTCAATTTTGTTGGCTAAAATATGATCAAATCGATCCATTCCCAGAAAACAATTAACTTCAATCTCTGAACCTGGGGGTTTAAGAAACCCTTCCAGAAAGACCAATACAGGTTGAGCATTCCGAATCAGAAAATCCAAAAATCTGAAACACTCAAAAATCCAAAATGGGTTGAGCAATGATGTGACACCACTGTGGAAAATTCCACACCTGATCTTGTGACAAATCAGTCAAAACTGTAGTACACCAGAGATAGTGTATAAAATTACCTTGGGGCTATGTGTATTTTTTTTGTGTGTGTAAAACATCTATAAATGTTGTGTTTAGATGTGAGTTCCAATCCCAAGATATCTCATTATGTACTTGCAAATAGTCCAACACTTTTTAAAATCCAAAATCTGAAACATATCTGGTCCCAAACGTTTCAGATAAGAGATACCCAACCTGTATCTACTGAAGGGCAGGCAGCCCTTCAGTGTGGGTTTCTATTTGAAACTGACTTTACTGAACTAGACGGAGGGGGAGAAATAAAAAGAAAGAGATGGCTTTCTCGTCCCTTCTGGGCAACATTAGGCTCATGGGGCCATGGAGTAGCTGTAGGGACCCTGGAGGTCATCTAGTCCAAAAAGGCTCAACATACTTGGTTCTGAAGTCGTCAGAGGCCAGCTTGGCATTGTCAACGTTCACCATCAGCTTGGAGTTCTCAGACTTGGCACACAGAATCTGAAAAAAAAGAGTTGGTTCTAATGTGAGGTCCACTTGAACTTGAGGATATCTCACGAGTTCCAAGACAGGCAGCTGCTTCTGGGCCCCCACCGGGCTCTGCCCCTCACCTTCTGCTGGAGCTCCTCGATGGTCCGGAAGTAGGACTGGTAGCTGGGGCACACCAAGGGGTCCTGCTGCTGCTTCCGCTCCTGGATG